CCACCAGAACACATCTGTGACTGGGGTTACTTAACTATGTATACCTTTTGCTTCCTGCCCTAATTCTTTGTCTATTCAAAGCTAAAGCTCGTGTCTGCACTTACGATGATGGGCTCGGTGCTTACTTTGCCTCTTGCCATGGTGTGTCCTGGGCATGTAACATGTCTATTTGGTGTATAGGGGCAAGTGGCTGAAACTGGCATGTGAAATTCCAGGAGTTTGGGTCTGGAGTCTAAAAACTCTGGTTTCAGGATTACAGGCATGTGCCTCCATGCCCATTGGAGAAGTTATAATCTTGCAAGACAAGTAAAACATACACAACTGCAATTAAAATACAGAATGTGATCAGTGCCACATGGCATAATACATACTAAAGTGGATCTCTGCAAATATTTGTCACATGAAAAATATTCTGTAAGTTTTTGGATAATCTTGATGGTGGTCCATCTAATAAAAAAAAAATCTGTTTTGTAACTCTGTAAAAAACCAAAATTCTCCAATAAGAAATCTGCTATGCCTTCTTATTGTCTTCTAAATAAAAACTCTACAGCGACCTTTTTTTTTTTCTATTTTAGCAGTACTGGGGTTTGGACTCAGGGCCTTACACTTGCTAGGCAGGTGCTCTACCACTAGAGCCACTTTGCCAGCCCTTTTTGCATTGAGTTTTTTTTTTTTTTTTTTTGACAGCACTAGGATTTGAACTCAGGGCCTCAGGCTTGCTAGGCAGGTGCTGTACCACTTGAATCACTCTACCAATCCCCCGCAGGAAGCAATATTTATCAGTGTGCTGGCAGTGGTTCAGCAGATTTACATCCAAAGGCTGAGCCCTGAGAACAATAGGGTCTTACCTTATATACCCTTGCAAGCAGGTTACAACAGCAAAAAGCAAGGTTTAACCCAAATACGGTTGCATGCAACTCTATGAGCTATTTCACCCCCAGTGCTACGTGACCTTCTTCATGTTTAGATTCTTTAAGTTTTATCTCCCTGCTATGCCATCCCTTCTGCTACATTATCAGAACACAGACTTGCTTGCTTCTTTCCTGGCCCTCCTCCCTGCTACATCATCTTTCATCACTTTGTTTCCCTACTTATATTTGCTCCAAAGTCAGCTGAACTAAGCTCTCCTAGTCATGCTTCTGGCTTCCCTATCCTTATGCTTTTAGTTTTATCCCTTTGAAATCACCCACCTCTGGCCTACACTGAAATCCCAGTCAACCTTTACATCACAACTGCCTAAGTAAGGCAAAAGTGATTTCTCTGATCTCCCCCTTGTGGTACTGATTGAACTCAGAGCCTCATGCATGCTAGACAAGTGTTCCACTGTTACGGGAACTGGCAATATACCAGGGAGGAGGTCTCCAAAAGGAAAGAGGCCTCTGCCTGGCCATTGGGTACCAAGTTTGTGATGTTGTCATACACACAAAAAATAACTTTAGGACACATTGAGGTAGAGACCAAGAAGTTTATTAGTAAAAGCAAGTCTAAGGACAGAAAGATAGAACACAACCCAGACATGGCTGTGGGTACATCTGTTAACAGGTGCAATGAGTGCTCTAACATTAGGGATATTTATGGTAAAACATTAGGGTAAGTGTTTTGACTCAAATTCACTACTCTTTATTCTGATATCTACCATATTTAATCATTCTAGTTGTTACCTTGTCTTAGTACTTGGGTTCAGAGAGTTCAAGACTGAACAAAGAGTCCTTCCAGACTACCAATAAACTACAATCCTAACCTCATCCTGCTTTTTAATTGAAGTTATAGGTTTTAATTCCATAAGACTGTACCTTTTCAAGGATCTTGAGAATTTAGTGCCCACAAAACACTTTGCGAGGTAATTAATAAAGTGACAAGTTTTAAGGTATAGAAATTCAGGGCCCAGACAGAAGGCTGGGCAAACTGTCCAGGCTCAGGGTGATTATGATGGTCATCTTAGGAAGAGGCAGCATGATGAGGCACATGTAGACTTGAACGAAGCTAACGGCCCTTGCCTTTAGATACTATTTTGGTATCTAATATCACCTTGGGGTCAGGTGATATTAGATGCCCTAAATCGATTTTTAAAACCTACTTTTAGGGCTGCAGGCATGGCTCAAGTGATGAGTGTCTGTCTAGCAAGTGTACTGACAAAAAAAATTTATTTACTTATTTTTGGCAGTACTGGTGTTTGAACTCAAGGCCTTGCACTTGCTAGGCAAGTGCTGTACCACTTGAGCCATACCCCCAACCCTTTTTGCTTTAGGGTTTTTTTTTTTTTTCAGTATTGGCATTTGAACTCAGGGCCTTGAGTTTGCTAATCAGGCACTCTATTGCTTGAACCATGCTTCCAGCCATTTTTGCTCAGATTATTTTGGAGATAATCCCCTGGGGTGAGCTTGGACCATGATCCTCCTTTTTTACGCTTGTTACCATGAGGTGGGACGACCACATGCCGCCTCACTTGGCTTTTATTCCATTGAGATGGAGATCATGCAAACCATTTTTCCCCAGGCTCGCCTGGAACTACAATCCTCCCAATCTTAGCCTCCCATGTAGTTTTTGGGATGACAGGTGTGCACCGCTGTGCCCAGCTATTGGTTGAGATGGGGTCTTATGAACTTTTTGACCAGGCTGACCTCAAACTGCAATTCTTTAGTCCTCAGTCTCCCAAGTAGCTAGGATGACAGATGTGAGCCACTGGTACTCGACATGCTTTAGGAATTTTTTTAACAGAGACTCAAATTTATGTTTGATCCTCCTATTTATACTTCCTGAGTATCTGGGATTACATGTGTGGGCCACCATGACCAGCTTTTATTAAGATGGTGTCTTAAGAACTTTTTGCCTGGGTTGGCCTTGAACTGTGATTCTCCCAGTCTCTGCCTCCTGAGTCACTAGACTTACAGGTGTGAGCCATTGTGCCTGACTAAAAATTGTTTAAAAACAACTTTTTTGAGTTATAATTTATATATCTTTATATTCTTTAATTTAACACTGTACAGTTCAATGGTTTTCATCTGTATTCGGAGTTGTGTCCCAAACACTATCTAATTTTAGAACATTTTCATCATCATAGTAAGAAACTTATTTTCATTAGTAGTCACTCCCTTTTTCTCCTCCTTACCTTCCACCTAGGCAACTAGTAATCTACTTTCTATCTTGCCTACTTGACATTTCACATATACAGAGTCATATAATATTTGTTCTTTGTGACTTTTTTCTCTTAATGTCGAGACTCATCCATGTTATTGCATGCATCAATACTTCATTGCTTTTTGTGACTGAGTAATATTGCATTGTATTTTTATATCATTTTGTTAATCCATCAGTTGATGGACATTTGGGTTGTTTCTACTTTTTGACTATTGCAAACAGTGCTGCTGTGGTCACTGGTGTACAACTTTTTGTGTAGATATGTTTTCAACTTTCTTGGGAGTAAAATTGTTGGGTCATATGGTAGTTCTATGATTAACTTTTCGAGGTACAGCCAGACTTTTCCAAGGTGACTTTGCCATTTTACATTCCCAACAGCAGTGTGTGAATGTTCTAATTTCTCCACATCCCTGCCAGCACTTGTTATTGCACATCTTTTTAATTCCAGTGATCTAATGAGTGTGATATCCCAGCTTCTACACTACTCCTACAAACACAGAGCAGAGTTTCTGAAATACCCTTATGACTCTTTCACGTCAAGTGGGAGAACCATAGTATGGAAACAGAGTACCAGTCCCCTCAAGGATTCAGCTTTAAATAACTTTCAGTGATCTCCTACCTGAGTCAGGCACTTTGCTAGGTGCTTCCAAACACACTTCCTCGTTTAATCACAACAGTCCTATGTGGAACGTCTTATTGCCCAGTTTTGAGGAAATGCTCACCCAGAGACTATGTAGTTATCTCAATGTCACACAGTCACTGAAGAGCAGAGCTATAAGGACTTGACCCAACGGACTCTTCGAAGGCTCAAATATTAAAAAAAAAAAAGGCCAGGGCAGCAAATTCCATGCCCATACGGACCAAGGACTGGGAAGAAGGGGCAGTGAGAGAAGCATGAGTATTCTCTAGCCTTGGCAGTTACTAATTAGCACTGTACAAATATGCCATATAGGAATGTAGCACTCGTGGACAGTTTTTTGAATTTTCAACTGATGAGGGAAATCCTGATTTTATGTGAATTATCCCAATTTTGAAATAAAGAGCCAACAGTGAGACAAACAAAATACTACCACAGGTCAAATTTGGACTAGGAGACTGTCATTGTGGATGAATTCCTTTGGCTTAATACTCATCCTCCTATCTATCATCTATCTATCTATCTATCCTATCATGTGTGTGTGTGTGTGTGTGTGTGTGTGTGTGAGACTGGGGTTTGAACTCAAGGCTTTGCACTTCCAAAGCAGACGCTATACCACTTGAGCCAGACCTCGAGTCCATTTTGTTCCGGTTATTTTGGAGATGGGGTTTCGAGAACTATTTGTCCGGGCTGGTCTCCAACGGCGATCCTATCGATTTCAGCCTCTCAAGTAGCTGGGATTACACGCGCCAGGATCTATTCATCTTTCGAAAGCAAATGGGCACTACTAGAAACAATCATTCAGCTGTAAATTGCCATTCCACTGGCGATATAGGGGATGGGACGGGTTAAGGAGGTACTGCCTACCAGCCTGGGCTTTGAAGAAATTAAACCACTGTCCTCGACGATTTGATCGGAATAGGACAGCTGCCTTCACCAAAGTGCTTTGGGTGGTGGAGAGGGACCTGCCATGGGACGTGACAGATAACTGGGAACAAATGGGCCATCGCCCCTGTGCGTTCAGCTGGCTCAATACGGAAGAAAAATACACACAGAGTTAAATTGCTAGCTCACTTTGCTATGTTGGTGTCTCGGCCCCAAGATCTCAAGATCTTTCCAAAGAGGACCCCGACCGCGCAAGCTCCGCCCACTCGCCGAGTGCGCTCACCGGAAACTCGCCCTTTCAGCGTTTGACCCGGAAGCGGAAGAGACTCCGTCTCATTTCTCCGTCCTGTGCGTTTCTCCTGTGTCGTTACAGCTCGGCGGGAGTTGATCTCCGGGCCTGCTCGCGGCGTGTTGTGGCGGAGAAGCGGCCCTTTGAAGGCACCGAGCACCCGCAGTCATGGCGGACGTAACCGCCCGCAGCCTGCAGTACGAGTACAAGGCGGTGCGTGGGCCCTCGGGGGAAGACTCCTGGCTTGGAGTGCGGTGGGTGCGCGGGAGGCAGTGGATGGGTGTTTCGGTCTGAAGGCCTCCGGGAGAGCCACGAAAGCAAAGGGGGAATCAGATCCAGGTGAAGGTAGGATTACTTCATGGCGGAGCAACCCCAGTGGAGTTTGGATCGCATGAGACTGTCTTAAGAGCTCCCCAGGAGAAGTTTCTCCATTTCTCTCGGCCCCAAACGCGTGCCCTTCCCCTTGGTACCCCCAACTCGCTCAACATTTTTCTAAGTAGGGCTGTTACGAGCAAGGGTCGTTCAGCTGTCTAGACAGCCCTAAGCTCATGCACAGCGCTATACGTGATGTTGTTTCTCAAGGAAGTCACCTTTTTATTCCTTTTGTTACAATTCTTTTATCATTTGATGTCCCTGTGATGTAGGAATTGGCCCTGCTCATGTCGAAGTTTCGATAATGTATGATCTTTTCAGAACTCGAATCTTGTTCTCCAAGCTGACCGCTCCCTCATTGACCGGACCCGCCGGGATGAACCCACTGGAGAGGTGCTGTCATTGGTTGGGAAGTTGGAGGGCACCCGTATGGGAGATAAGGCTCAACGGACCAAACCTCAAATGCAGGAGGAAAGAAGAGCCAAGTAGGTACCAAGGGGATACTATTTTTTTTCTGCAAGTCCAAAGTCCATCTTCCCTTTAGCATTTGAGTAGCATTTTTACTGAAATTTGTGGTGGAAGATCATCAAATAAGTGTCATTAAAACAACATAGTTTCCTTTACCTAAAGCTTAGCAGAATATGAGAACTTAGTTTTTTTAATCTTAACAAATGCACCTAACGTGGATAATGACTTATTGGTATCATTTTCTAATGTTTCTGATCCATTGATAGATCTCCATTTTTCTTCCATTTATTTTTCAAGACCCTTTCTATTCCCTTGTCTGAGTAACTTTGTTTTCTCCCATTACTAACTTCCAGTCCCTATTTCTTTCCTCTACTGTTGTTCACTTCCTACTTTGTTTTCCATCTTGGGAGATGAATTGGGAGATGTATTTCAAAACTTGCATAATCACTGAATTTTATCTCACCATTATATTTTTGACTCTGAATAACTCTGTGTTTTCTTCTCACAGTGGAGTCTTAAAATTCTAAGGCCAGTTTAGGTTAAGTAGTTATATATGAAATTGGTTTATACACCATTGGTCCTCCACTTTGCATTGTATTACTTCTCTAGTTCTGTTATAATTTGGTTTGTGTTAGTAAAAGTAGATTCCATTGGAGCTTTAGTTTTTCTGGCTAAAAAAAAGCAATGCGTCTGTGAGGTTAAAAAAAAAAACAAAACTAGTTAAAATACTACTTTTTTTTTTTTTTTTTGGTATTAGGGCTTGAACTCAGGGCCTTTGCCTTGAGCCACTCCAGAACACCTTTTTTGTGATGGGTTTTTTCAAGATAGGGTCTCACACACTATTTGCTCAGGCTGGCTTTAAACTGTAATTCTCTTGATCCTTGTCTCCTGAGTAGCTAGTATTACTGGCATCCTGCTTGTTTCATAATTTTTTCATACAAAGTATAAAGGTATCATTTTTAAGTTAATGGGGAGGATGTCTCATAATATTTAGTACATTTAATGAGAGAATGACAGAGGAGGATTCCTTTCTATCACTGTGTCTCATGAAGAAATGCTCCTATAAATGATTAATGCTAAATTGGAATAGTGCTCTGGGATCCAGTTTCCTGTTCTCAGATATTAGAGATGTGGAAAGGAGGGTGGGCTTGATCTATGCTTGTTTTGGGGAGGCAGTGTTCTCTCATTCAACATCATATCGTGTGCTTATTAGGCGAAGAAAGCGTGATGAGGACCGCCATGACATCAACAAGATGAAGGGTTATACTCTGCTGTCAGAGGGCATTGATGAGATGGTGGGCATCATCTACAAACCCAAAACTAAGGAGACCCGGGAGACCTATGAGGTGCTTCTCAGCTTCATCCAGGCTGCTCTTGGGGACCAGGTGAGGCCGTGTGTTTAGAAAGAGAATTTTTTTTTTTGCTTGTTAAAAAGGTATTTGGTAAGTTTGGAATAAAATTAATTTGAATTTACAGAGTAGTGGTCTTTTAGGTCATGTCACTTTTGGAAAATCTGATGAAAATTGTAAACCCTCTACTAGAGAGAATGTACAACCACAGATACCCATTAAACTTGACATACATTTTCAGGGAATTCAGCTTTTCCCAGAGTTATAAATTAAAAAACAAACTATACCAAAACCCCCAAACTTTTGCAGTTAAAAAAAAAAGAAACTTAGGAATATTTGGTTGAGGAATTAGAAAGAGAATCTTATCTCTGGATCTTCTTTGTGGCCTTATTAATTTGTAGAAGTAGCTGCTACTTGGTGAACACTTAGTTTATGTGGTACAACATGGGATAAATTCTATGAATAGGTGTTAATATTCATTTTCCATTTTGCAGGAGACATGAGTCACATAATAGATAAGTGAAAGGTAGTATTTGTATTTGGCAGTCAGAATATGAATCCGGGCATCTATCTCTGGAACCTGCCCGTAACCATTATACATGCATGAATAGAGTGGGGTCCTCATGAGTTTCTGAGAGACTCTGGCCAGGTGGGTATTAGAAGAAATTTGAACAAAGAATTACCAAAAGTATGGCAGGAGTACTGGTATGTGCCCCTACCACCTGAAGATGTGAGGAAAACTGTTATGAAAGCCATGTTGTGGAAGCCATGTCCTTTTTGAAGACCAACTACCTAATTTTTTTTTTTTTTGTGGTGCTGGTAATTGAGCCCAGGGCCTTGCATATGCTAAGCATGTATTCTACCACTGAGCTGTATCCTCAGCAACCTGCTAGTCTTTTTGAAAACAAATGGGTGGGTTTTCCTTCAGTTATGTAACTCTTAAGTGGCTTGCTTTTATTTATTTATTTTTTGGTGGTTACTGGAGTTTGAACCTGTGGTTGCCAGGCAGGCATCCTACCATTTGAACCACACCTCCAGTCCTAGGTGGCATTTTTATATCAACGTTAATGAAAAAGATGAGAACCTGAGATGCTGCAGGTTTTGAAGAGGTGTGGCTCTTCACCTCTTGCCCATCACATAAAGCTGGTCAGTGATGTTCTGCATGTTGTTCTAAATGTTTTCTTTTTTTTGCCACCAGCCACGTGATATCCTTTGTGGGGCAGCCGATGAAGTTCTAGCTGTCCTGAAGAACGAAAAGCTTCGTGACAAGGAAAGGCGAAAGGAGATTGACCTGCTTTTGGGTCAGACAGATGATACCAGATACCATGTGCTAGTGAACTTGGGCAAAAAGATCACAGACTATGGTGGAGACAAGGAAATCCAAAATATGGGTAATTGAGCTCTTTATATCCTGATCATATTAACTGTTGACCCTTCCAAATGTGTGTCTATTAGCATCATTCATTAAAAAAGCTGAATATCAGTGAGTTCCCATACCTGTTTTGTGTTTTTTGAAGAGTTGTGACTGATGGGCATCAGAACCCATTGATTCCAGCAGCTGTTTCTTACTCTGAGACCCTTTCATTGTATAGAAGATGGGAGAGAACTTGGGTATAACCTGGGGGTTGAGCAAGTGGAGAGGCCTGAGTCTAGGTTGGCAGGTTAGAGAGAGCCTTAGTGTTAGCATGGGTGTCTTGCTTATGTTGATCATGTTAAGACTTTGTGTCCTTAGACCTTACTTCTGTCCTGAAGAGAAGTAAGTTAGGTAGTTGGGGAAGAAAAGCTGCTTGGGTACCTCTTGTTTCACTAACCATTCACTGCTATCTTTTTGTAATCCCTCATTGTCTCAGATGACAACATTGATGAGACCTACGGAGTGAATGTGCAGTTTGAGTCTGATGAAGAGGTGAGTAGTAAAGAATTCAGATCTCATGTATCTCATTTGTTGAAGTCATTAAGGTAATGGGACCCCTTTTAGTGTACAGAAGCCCTTTAAGTCAGATAAATCTTACAGTATTTTATGAGTGTCAGGTTTAGAAATTTGCTAAAAACATTATAGTTTTCTTTAGCATTTCTAAAGCACATTTATGCTGATAGATATAAACTAATACAATAATTTAAATCAAGTAGATCAGCAAAAAGAAAAACAAAGAACAGTGTACCCCTTCACTGAAGATGTATTCCAATATAGTTGACAGCATTTTAACCTTATTGCAATAATTTCCCACTTTTTCATATTGTAAACTTCAGTTATACTTTGTACTTGGTTGTTTAAGTAACAGTTGTATCAGTAACTGGGATTAATACTAACTATCCAGTCAGAGTTTCTAGAATATAACTGAAGAAGAATGAGTGGGGTATGTTGAGTTGGGCACGGTGGTACACACCTGTTTGAGGCCAGCCTGGACTGATAGTGAGACCCTGTATCAAAAAAAAAAAAAAAAAAAAAGTGAAAAACATACAGAATTTGTAAAATTGCTCTAGAGTTTTCAGTGGATGGGTTTGCGTCTTGAAAGGGAAAATGCCAGTCCTGAAATTTATACCAGAACAGGAAAAGGAATGGCACAGGAGTCAAGAATTCTGAATTTTGTTCTTATATCTTGGGCAAGTTATTTTGCCTCAGTTTCTCTTTCTATAAAATGAACTGATTGATATAAGATGAATGTAAAGTTCCTTCCTACAGTATAGTAAGTTGGACTTTATGATTTTTGAGTAGCAAAAAACATAGACTGCTCATACAGTTCATTTAACATATGCTTATTAAGTATTATTAACACGACACTGTTCTAAATTACACACACGGTACAATGTGAGTAGATAAGGGGTAAGGAAGATAAGCATAGTTTCTACATTATTTACTGGCTCATAGTCTACTTTGCCAGGTGTACTTCTGTATACCTCTTCTCTCCTGTTGGTCACCAATTCTTGTTTTCAATTTTTAGTGTGTGGTTCAGATAGCGATTGTGATACAGGTGGTTGTTATTGTGATAGCTAAGGTGAGAAGCAGAAAAGAGAGCAAGCACATCTAATGAGTCCATGCTAAGTTGGTATTGCATTAATGTACTCTGGACTAAGGCGGACCCTGGTACCAACAAGCTGTTGGTTTTACCTCAAAGCCATTGCTCTAACCATTGAGTTCATTAAGGGTGGTCTAAGGAGAGGTTCTGTGGTGACACAGGATCAGTTCCACATCATCATTGAGGTTGGGGCCATTTCCACAGGAAGGTGATGAAGATGTATATGGAGAGGTTCGAGAAGAGGCATCTGATGATGATATGGAAGGGGATGAGGCTGTTGTGCGCTGTACCCTCTCAGCTAATGTAAGTACAATTTCTTTCCCATTGCTTCAAGGCCAGGTTATTTCTGAGTGTAGCACTTCTTCCTCATGCCTACATTCTCTTATAAATTACTTGCTTTGATAGAGTGAGCCATAGTAAACATTTAGGATAGTCATCCTCCTTCCCAAAGGCATGGGTTGATGGAATCTTAGCTTGGTGTGCTTCTCAACTCAGTGTAGTAGACTATTTCCTTCTGGAAAAGATCCCAAAAGAAAGTGAGTTACAGGATGGAAAGTGACTTTGTTGAGAAAGCCTCGGGGCAGAGAGAGAGAGACGTAGTGAATCATGTGTCTGATTACCTTTTTAGCTTGTGGCCTCAGGTGAACTGATGAGTTCCAAGAAGAAAGATTTACACCCCCGGGATATTGATGCATTCTGGCTGCAGCGGCAGCTCAGTCGTTTCTATGATGATGCTATTGTGTCACAGAAGAAAGCAGATGAAGTGTTGGAGATTTTGAAGGTAAGACTGAGATAATGTATCTGTTCAGTCATCTTAGCATGTGGGGACAGTGTATGAAGCAGCAGATACTTGTGTCTTTGAGATCTTGTTTGGAGATTGTAGTAGGGGAACATGTACCCTTGACTGAGAACAGTCCTCCTCTACCAGGGAAAACAGTTCTCTTTGACCAACTATGCAGCTTCAAGAGGGACACACATAGAGGTGAGGGAGGTCGGGGACACCTGCCTAGCCAGCCAGATCAGCCGAATCAACCATGGCAGTCAATGGGGTGACAGCTGTTCCAGCCAGATCATTCTTGCATTCAGATGTCTATGTCCTTAATGATGGTATTACCTTCTCTCTTTAGACGGCAAGTGATGACCGAGAATGTGAGAACCAATTGGTTCTGCTCCTTGGCTTTAACACTTTTGATTTTATTAAAGTGTTACGGCAGCACAGGATGATGAGTAAGTATACACTGTGCTTGTCCTGCAGAGTGAGAGAGAGAGAGAGAGTGAGTGAGTGTATGTGTGTGTGTGCACGCACATGCAAATGTGGCAGGATTGTGTTGCTTTCATGGTTTTAGCACTTAATTTTTTTCTTTCTTCCCCAAGAGTGAAGGTTAACATTATCTCATTCTCTCCTTTCCACCTTCCCTTTCTTCCTATTGTGGTTGGCAGTTTTATATTGTACCTTACTGGCCAGTGCTCAGAGTGAAGCTGAAAAGGAGAGGATCATGGGAAAGATGGAAGCTGATCCAGAGCTATCCAAATTCCTCTACCAGCTCCATGAAACTGAGAAGGAGGATTTGATCCGAGTAAGGGCTGGTTTGGCTTAACTGTTTCATTCCTTAGCTAGTATTTGCTTTAAGAGTGGAGGTTGAAGTAGCATAAGGCATTTTTCTGAACTCTGGGGCTTGTCAGTAGGTACAGATTAGAATCAACACACATTGGTATAGTTGTGAGATAGTCTTCACCAGCACCATGGGGACCTTTACTGTTTTCACAGCAAAACCATGGTGTTTACTATAAGCCAGAACATGTGTGTTTGCTTAACATAGAACCCACACTTCTACCCCTTTGGGACAGCCCTTGGTGCTGAATGATAGAATGACTATTTCCAGCATCCCTGTTCTGTGCATTTTCTATCTATGGTATTTGTTTCCTTTCATCTTTTTTGGTGGCCTCTGTGGTAGGTGTCTGAATATAAAGTGCCATGTTTGGATTTAGGGATGCATTAGTCAGCACTTGTGAGTCAAGTACAGCTAAGCAGGCACTGGAAAGAACAAGGACCCAGGAGAATAGTAAGTCATGCTTTTTGTCTTTTCCCACTAAAGGAGGAAAGGTCACGGAGAGAGCGAGTTCGTCAGTCCCGAATGGATACAGATTTGGAAACCATGGATCTGGACCAGGGTGGAGAGGTAGGTATCAGGCCATTTTTCAGGCTGTGAAGGGTGGAAAACTCATTTTATCAGCTTGTTCATTTCCTGTTGTTTTTAATGTTCCCAGGCATTGGCTCCACGGCAGGTCTTAGACTTAGAGGACCTAGTTTTCACTCAAGGGAGTCACTTCATGGCTAACAAACGCTGTCAGCTTCCTGATGGATCCTTCCGTCGCCAGCGTAAGGGCTATGAAGAGGTGCATGTCCCTGCTCTGAAGCCCAAACCCTTCGGCTCAGAAGAAGTGAGTGAATTGCTTTTTTCAGTTTATTGCTCAGTTCGCCTCTCTTCCAGTTTTGATTTTAGCCAAATCAAAATTTAGTTTATTCCAGAAATAGAAGCTGCTTCAGAGTTTGCCCAGTCTGATTTTGAGCCCAGGGAACAGTATTGATCTCTGTACTGGCTTTTCAGAGAGTTAAGCAGGGAGACTACCAAAGAATGAAATCCTGGTGATCCCACAAAAGTGGACAGTTTGCTCAAGGACATGATATGAGTGGCATTTTTTTCCTTCTAGCAACTGCTTCCAGTGGAGAAGCTGCCGAAATATGCCCAGGCTGGATTTGAGGGCTTCAAGACACTGAATCGGATCCAGAGTAAACTCTACCGTGCTGCCCTGGAATCAGATGAGAATCTGCTGCTGTGTGCTCCTACTGTAAGCATTGCCCTGCCTGCTTTTCTCTTGTGGAATGTGGTCTAAAGGTTTGGTGGTAATTTATTCTTAATGGAATACATGTTAAGTGGTGGAGTAGAATGCCAGAACATGCTCAGTTTTCTGTTTTGGATATAAGCCCATAGAAGTAAGGTCATGAATGTAACCAGGTGAACAGGCCATCTCATCCCTGACCTCTCTCTCAGGGTGCTGGGAAGACCAACGTGGCCCTGATGTGTATGCTTCGAGAGATAGGGAAACACATAAACATGGATGGCACTATCAACGTGGATGACTTCAAGATCATCTACATTGCTCCCATGAGGTCCTTGGTGCAGGAAATGGTGGGAAGTTTTGGAAAGGTAAGGGTTACAGCTTTGCTCCAGAAGATTCTTGTTGCAGCTATCAGGTATTGAAAAAGGGCCTGTGCATCACCAATTCTTAGATTAGACATCTCTGAATGCTTTCTGTGCTCTTTGTTTTCCCCATTTCCAAGGTGGAAATGGTATAGTTTCTAAAGCAGTAAGGTTCTGAACTCTCTTTTATAAAGGTCTTCATCAGTTTTCTTTCATCCTCTCCATAGTTGTTTTCTGTAGTTGGTGTCATTGCATTTTGAAGTTTTTTTTTCTGAGATAGGGTCTCGAAATGTAGATCATGCTGGCCTCAAACTTACTATGTAACCAAGACTGCCTTTGAACTTGGGATCCTCCTGCGTCAGCCCCACCGAATGCTGGGATTATAGGCATGTACCATCACACCCAGTTATGATTTGAAGTATTTGTGAAAAAGCTTGTGGATATGGTTGATAATAGACCTTGTGGTGTCCCAGGTTCTCTGGCTTAAAAGTTTGCATTTCTCCTTTCTTATATACAGAGCTCTTAGAGATTCCCAGTCTGCTTCATTTGCTGAGTAAATATTGGGGTTTTTTTTTTTTTAGGACTATATATTCATTTGGTTTCACCTGGTACTTACCTGTTCCCCGTCCCCTACTGACACTGCCCAGACAGAAAGTGTGCTGTCCAGACTCCTTGAAGTATTTTTTTTTCTTCCTTCCTCTCTTCCCTTCCTCTCTTTTTTTTTCTTCTCTTCTCCTCTTCTCAGGCCTTGCACATACTAGGCAAGTGCTCTATACTGAGTTACATCCCCAGCCCCTTTGAAGCATTCCTGCCTGATATACCTTTCCTCTCCCAGCGCCTGGCCACTTATGGCATCACTGTTGCTGAACTGACTGGGGACCACCAGCTGTGCAAGGAGGAGATCAGTGCCACACAGATCATCGTCTGTACGCCCGAAAAGTGGGACATCATCACCCGCAAGGGCGGTGAGCGTACCTACACTCAGCTGGTGCGGCTTATTGTCCTGGTGAGCCAGAGAGTGATGGAAGGGAGAAATTAGTTGTGATCAGGGGTTTACTGGAATTATTGGTGAACGTCCTGCAGGCCTTTCTGTAGATGCTGTCCTTTATAATGACAGCCATGGACAATTTTGCTGTTGCCATTGATGAGAATCTGCATGCAGTAGAAACTTCCCAGTCATTGCATTGGTGTTGCCATATTCCTTATTTGTTTTTATGTCTGAAATATTTTGAAATAAATGTAAACAGACAAAAATAATTGTATTCTCACAGCACGTTGGAGGTCTTTCTAAATAACCCATTCTGAGAGACAACAAGTAAGGAGCCAGGACATTATGTTCTGTTTACACAGAAGCACACAGAGAGGAAGGACTTGTGGTCTGAGAGTCCTTTTTTTGTGTGTGTGAGGAAGTAAGAAAGGGGACCTCATGCTGGTGTTCAGTGTTCTTGAGCAGGAGTTTGTAGTCTGTGGTTATTGCCTTTTGTTTTATTGAAACACAGCCATACCCATTGCTTACAACTGCTTTTGTGCTGCAGTGGCAGAGTTGAGAATTTGCAGCAAGGACTGCATGGGCCACAAGCCTAAAATATCGATTATCTGATCCTTTAAGAAAAGGTTGCTATCCCCTGCTTTAGAGCCTACTAAAAGCCTCAGCAGCAGCCTGAAATAGGAGCTTGTTAGAAATGCTGAACACCTTGAATACAATCTGCATCTTAACAAGAGCTCCAGGTCTTCCTGTGCATGCTGAAGTTTGAGAAGCCCTACTATAGGCTGTGTGAACTCATTATAAATAAGGTGATGTATGGTAGTTTTTGCTCTTTGTAGAGTCCTGCCCAAGAGTATTAGCCTTATTTGATTCAAATATAGTCTGATCAAGACCTTCATTCTTCATAAGGAAATTTACATTAAGGTTATGAACTTACTCATATTTTCTTGGTAGAAAGTACTGTAGCAAAGCAACTCACAGTACATTATTTCCTGGGATATTTCATGGTGAATACTGTCTTATTCCTAGGAGATTCTTTGGCTTGAGATTGCCTTTCTTGTGTTTAGGCATCCTAGATTATATGCCTATAAAATGGGACTAGTCTTAGGAAGGGGGGAGTTTCTCTGGTAACTTACTGCCTTCCCTATTCCTTAGGATGAGATCCATCTTCTCCATGATGACAGAGGCCCTGTCTTAGAAGCTTTGGTGGCCAGGGCCATTCGAAACATTGAGATGACCCAAGAGGATGTCCGGCTCATTGGTCTCAGTGCTACCCTCCCTAACTATGAAGACGTGGCCACCTTTCTGCGTGTCGACCCTGCCAAGGGCCTCTTCTACTTTGACAATAGGTATAAGAAAACACTGGGTGAGGTATAGCCAAGGACACCTTCCTGTTTTCCTTCCCTTTTCTAAGGAGTATCGCTGGACTGAGTTTTAGAAGGGGCTTCTGGTTTTGTTCCTTCTTATCTTTTTTTTTGGTTGGTGTTCTGGGTTTTGAACTTAGGGCCTTGTGATTGCTGGGCAAGCACTCTGCCACTGAACTTGAGCCATGCCTGTGGCCCTTTTTGCTTTAGTTATTTTTTTTTAGATCGGGTGTCATGTTTTTTCCTGGGCTGGCTTATTGTGATCTTTCTCCGTAGCTGGAATTACAGTTGTGAACAGCCATGCTCAGTTTATTTGTTGAGCTAAGGGTCTTGCTAACGTTTTGCCTAGGCTGACTTGAACTGTGGTCTTTTTTGATCTACGCCTCTTGAGTAGTTGGGGTTACAGGAGTGAACCACTGTGCCTGGCCAAGAGCTGGACCTTTGAGTTTCTACTTTTTTTTTTTCTGAGGTACTGGGGTATGAACCTAGGACCTTACGTTTGCTAGGTCGGTGCGCTACCATTTGAGCCACTCTGCCAGCATGGACCTTTGAGTTTCTATGTGTAAATCCAAAAGAGGAATATTGGTCCCAGGGCAATGGAAAATACTACTTGTTCTTGTAGTACCTTCCAAAAACCTCCTTTTTTTAACTGTTGAACTTCTAGCTTCCGCCCAGTGCCTCTGGAACAGACGTATGTGGGCATCACAGAGAAAAAAGCTATCAAGCGTTTCCAGATCATGAATGAAATAGTTTATGAAAAAATTATGGAACATGCTGGAAAAAATCAGGTTTGTTATGATCTGTTTTTGTACCTGTTCTTTTTAGTTTTTGAATTAATGGTCAGTCAGGAAAGATTGACAAATATGAGGGAGAAGATAAGCACAAATCACCAATATTGGGAATGAGATGGGCTATTACTATAGTACCTGCTATTAATAGGATATGGGGCTGGGAGTGCAGTTCAGTGGTTACCATATGTGAGTCCTGATTTGATCCTCAGAACTGAAAACAAAATAAATAAAAGAGTAATAAGAGAATACTATGGACATCTTTACACACATAAATTGGCCTACTTAGAAGAAGTGAACCAATTAATTTCTTCACAATAGCCTAGAATGAAACAAATCATCTGAGTAGTTCTACAACTATTTTTTTTAATTCATATTTGCATACAATGTTTGGGTCATTTCTCCCCGCTTCCTCCACCCCCTCCCATACCTGCCCCCCCCCATACCCAGCAGAAACTGTTTTGCCCTTATCTCTAATTTTGTTGAAGAGAGAGTATAAGCAATAATAGGAAGGAACAAGGGTTTTTGCTAGTTGATAAAGATAGCTGTACAGGGAGTTGACTCGCACTGATTTCCTGTGCATGTGTGTTACCTTCTAGGTTAATTGTTCTTGATCTAACCCCTTCTCCTATTGGCCTCAGTTGCTTTAAAGTATCTGCTTTAGTTTCTCTGCGTTGAGGACAACAAATGCTATCTAGTTTTTTAGGTGTCTTACCTATCCTCATATCTCCCTTGTGGCTCTCGCTTTATCATGTGATCAAAGTCCAATCCCTTGTGTGTTTGCCCTTGATCTAATGTCCATATGAGGGAGAACTACGATTTTTGGTCTTTTGGGCCAGGCTGACCTCAGAATGATGTTCTCCAATTCCATCCATTTTACCAGCAAAATGATAACATTTCGTTCTCTTCATGGCTGCATAAAATTCCATTGTGTATAGATACCACATTTTCTTAATCCATTCGTCAGTAGTGGGCATCTTGGCTGTTTCCATAACTTGCTATTGTGAATAGTGCTGCAATAAACATGGGTGTGCAGGGCCTCTGGAGTAACTGTGTCACAGTCTTTTGGGTATACCCAAGAGTGGTATTGCTGGATCATGGTAGATCAATGTTTAGCTTTTTAAGTAGCCTCAGATTTTTTTCCAGAGTGGTTGTACTAGTTTACATTCCCAACAGCAGTGTAAGAGGTTCCTTTTTCCCTCATGCCTTGCAACACCTGCTGTTATGGTGTTGCTAATGATGGCTATTCTAACGGGTGAGGTGGAATCTTAGTGTGGTTTTAATTTGCATTTCCTTTATTGCTAGAGATGGTGAGCATTTTTTCATGTGTTTTCTGGCCATTTGAATTTCTTCTTTTGAGAAAGTTCTGTTTAGTTCATGTGCCCATTTCTTTATTGGTTCATTAGTTTTGGGAGAATTTAGTTTTTTAAGTTCCCTATATATTCTGGTTATCAGTCCTTTGTCTGATGTGTAGCTGGCACATATTTTCTCCCACTCTGTTCTCTTCAGTTTAGAGACCATTTCTTTTGTTGAGCAGAAACTTTTTAGTTTTATGAAGTCCCATTTATCTATGCTGTCTCTTAGTTGCTGTGCTGCTGGGGTTTCATTGAGAAATTTCTTACCAATACCTATTAATTCCAGAGTATTTCCTACTCTTTCCTGTACCAACTTTAGAGTTTGGGGTCTGATATTAAGATCCTTGATCCATTTTGAGTATCGTGATACCTCCAGCATTGTTCTTTTGACTGAGTATTGCCTTGGCTATTTGTGGCCTCTTGTGTTTCCATATAAATTCGGTAGATTTTTCAATCTCTTAATGAATGTCATTGGAATTTTGATGGGAATTGCATTCAAAATGTAGATTATTTTGGGAGTTAGACCTTTTTATATGTTGTTCTACCATCCATAGCAGGGAGATCTCTCCACTTTCTATGTCTTTCCTCAATCTCTTTCTTAGAGTTACAGTTTTCCTTGTGGGTCAGTTCACATCCTTTGTTAGGTTACACCTAGGTAATATTTTTTTTGAGATTGTAATGGAATTTTTTATATCCTTTCTCAGTTTGCTCTTATTAGTATAGAATGCTGTGATTTTCTATGGTTGATTTTATATCCTGCTACCTTGCTAGCTATTGTGGTGTGTAGGGCTTTTGGTACGGTTTTTTTGGGTCTTGAGGTATAGTCAGTTGTCACTGCAAATAGGGATATTTTGACAGTTTCTTTACCTATTTCTACAACTATTAGTGATAATGTTTTTGTAACTAAAAAGCTCTCAATAAAGAATTTCTGAGCCCAAAAAATCAGTCTCTTTACAGGACAACAGAAATAAAGATGAAAATTGAAAACTAATGAAAGAGTATATTTTATTAGAAAGTATGATAGAATTTTTTGAGTAGAGTTTAGCAATATCAACTAAGACAAGCAAGGAAAAGCAGCAGGTTGTACATTTCTTCTTGTCTGATAAAAAGCATAGGAATTTATGAGGAGACAGTTCTTTTTGGCAGCAGATTCTAGACTTTATTTCCTGAATCTGGTATTAATCTCAGACTTAATTGCTGTCATTTTTAATGAATAATGTAATGTTTTAACTAGTCTCTTGCAGATACTTCTTCATGTGGTTTAGGCTCTTGTTAGGGGTCTGAACAAAGAGTCTTAATTGAGATCCCTAAATTTTCATAGTATATTTAAACTTGCTATTCCAAGGAGGGTGCCAGGGTTAGTTTAATTTCCCAGGTGTTTGTCTGTGTTACTGTCCTTGGTGGGTTCATTCCCCTTAGCTCTTGCCAGCCCTGTTAAGGCTTGTTTTTCCAAGATCATGGCTTCTGGTTGTAATGTGTCGGCTCTGCTTTCTGCTGCTGATGCCCTTGTACTACAAGAGCAGTGCCAGAGCCGAGTCTCTTGACTGTAGCAAACTGTTCTTTCTTCTTAGGTGCTGGTGTTTGTCCATTCTCGGAAGGAGACTGGGAAGACGGCCCGGGCCATCCGGGATATGTGCCTGGAGAAGGACACTTTAGGTCTGTTTCTGCGAGAGGGCTCTGCCTCCACGGAGGTCCTTAGGACGGAAGCAGAACAGTGCAAGGTAAGAAGTCAGTTCTCTCATTCCTAGCTAGAAGTGGCTTTTTGTTACCAGGTGGGTCACAGATAGTTCCTCTGGGACTGAGTATACAAGGATGCTGTTGTTTGACATAGGTTAAGGGTGATTGTCTAGATATGGTTATGGGTAAAGGTAAGTAGTAAAGAGATCTCGATCCTTTTCTGTTCACAGAACCTGGAGCTGAAGGATCTTCTTCCTTATGGCTTTGCTATTCATCATGCAGGCATGACCAGAGTTGATAGAACACTTGTGGAGGATCTTTTTGCTGATAAACATATTCAGGTAAGATCAGGCAACGCTTTTGAGGGAGCAGTTGGTACAGGTTTCAGAACCTGAATATCACGCTGTGCTACTTGGGCTCCTGCTACTTCACTTTTTGGTTTCGGGGCACAGATAACCCAGATGGGAGGGTTCTTGTGAGTGCAATAATACTATCGTGCACCTCTCAATGTTTCCACACACTTGGGTCGGGGAAAGGTGGGTGGTTGGAAAAGTATTGGGATACAGCAAACAAGCACTTAGTGACTCTTGGCATAATTTCAAACAGACCTGTATGAGGTTCGACTATGTTCCCCTTTATGTTTTCAGGTAGTGCTCAGTGTGAATTTTTCTTAACCTAAGTTCGTTAATACAGAACTGTACTTTCTGGACTCCTTAGTGTCTCTGAACCTTGAACTTTTTTTTGTACCTTGGCGTTTGAATTCCGGCTTTCAGCTTGCTAGGCTATCTTCATTAGGCCTCCATTATTTTATTTATTTTTTTTATTTTTTTCATTTTTTTTTATTATTCATATGTGCATACAAGGCTTGGTTCATTTCTCCCCCCTGCCCCCCCCCTCCCTTACCACCCACTCCCCCTCCTCTCCCCCCCCCTCAATACCCAGCAGAAACTATTTTGCCCTTATTTCTAATTTTGTTGTAGAGAGAGTATAAGCAATAATAGGAAGGAACAAGGGTTTTTGCTGGTTGAGATAAGGATAGCTATACAGGGCATTGACTCACATTGATTTCCTGTGCGTGGTGTTACCTTCTAGGTTAATTCTTTTTGATCTAACCTTTTCTCTAGTTCCTGGTCCCCTTTTCCTATTGGCCTCAGTTGCTTTAAGGTATCTGCTTTAGTTTCTCTGCATTAAGGGCAACAAATGCTAGCTAGTTTTTTAGGTGTCTTACCTATCCTCACCCCTCCCTTGTGTGCTCTCGCTTTTATCATGTGCTCAAGTCCAATCCCTTGTTGTGTTTGCCCTTGATCTAATGTCCACATATGAGGGAGAACATACGATTTTTGGTCTTTTGGGCCAGGCTAACCTCACTCAGAATGATGTTCTCCAATTCCATCCATTTACCAGCGAATGATAACATTTCGTTCTTCTTCATGGCTGCATAAAATTCCATTGTGTATAGATACCACATTTTCTTAATCCATTCGTCAGTGCTGGGGCATCTTGGCTGTTTCCATAACTTGGCTATTGTGAATAGTGCCGCAATAAACATGGATGTGCAGGTGCCTCTGGAGTAACAGTCTTTTGGGTATATCCCCAAGAGTGGTATTGCTGGATCAAATGGTAGATCGATGTCCAGCTTTTTAAGTAGCCTCCAAATTTTTTTCCAGAGTGGTTGTACTAGTCTTACATTCCCACCAACAGTGTAAGAGGGTTCCTTTTTCCCCGCATCCTCGCCAACACCTGTTGTTGGTGGTGTTGCTGATGATGGCTATTCTAACAGGGGTGAGGTGGAATCTTAGTGTGGTTTTAATTTGCATTTCCTTTATTGCTAGAGATGGTGAGCATTTTTTCATGTGTTTTCTGGCCATTTGAATTTCTTCTTTTGAGAAAGTTCTGTTTAGTTCACTTGCCCATTTCTTTATTGGTTCATTAGTTTTGGGAGAATTTAGTTTTTTAAGTTCCCTATATATTCTGGTTATCAGTCCTTTGTCTGATGTATAGTTGGCAAATATTTTCTCCCACTCTGTGGGTGTTCTCTTCAGTTTAGAGACCATTTCTTTTGATGAACAGAAGCTTTTTAGTTTTATGAGGTCCCATTTATCTATGCTATCTCTTAGTTGCTGTGCTGCTGGGGTTTCATTGAGAAAGTTCTTACCTATACCTACTAACTCCAGAGTATTTCCTACTCTTTCTGTATCAACTTAAGAGTTTGGGTCTGATATTAAGATCCTTGATCCATTTTGAGTTAATCTTGGTATAGGGTGATATACATGGATCTAGTTTCAGTTTTTTGCAGACTGCTAACCAGTTTTCCCAGCAGTTTTTGTTGAAGAGGCTGCTATTTCTCCATCGTATATTTTTAGCTCCTTTGTCAAAGAAGTTGGTTATAGTTGTGTGGCTTCATATCTGGGTCCTCTATTCTGTTCCACTGGTCTTCATGTCTGTTTTTGTGCCAGTACCATGCTGTTTTATTGTTATTGCTTTGTAATATAGTTTGAAGTCAGGTATTGTGATACCTCCTGCATTGTTCTTTTGACTGAGTATTGCCTTGGCTATTCGTGGCCTCTTGTTTTCCATATAAATTTAACAGTAGATTTTTCAATCTCTTTAATGAATGTCATTGGAATTTTGATGGGAATTGCATTAAACATGTAGATTACTTTTGGGAGTATCGACATTTTTACTATGTTGATTCTACCAATCCATGAGCATGGGAGATCTCTCCACTTTCTATAGTCTTCCTCAATCTCTTTCTTCAGAAGTGTATAGTTTTCCTTGTAGAGGTCTTTCACATCTTTTGTTAGGTTTACACCTAGGTATTTGATTTTTTTTGAGGCTATTGTAAATGGAATTGTTTTCATACATTCTTTTTCAGTTTGCTCATTGTTAGTGTATAGAAATGCTAATGATTTTTCTATGTTGATTTTATATCCTGCTACCTTGCTATAGCTATTGATGATGTCTAGAAGCTTCTGAGTAGAGTTTTTTGGGTCTTTAAGGTATAGGATCATGTGTCTGCAAATAGGGATATTTTGACAGTTTCTTTACCTATTTGTATTCCTTTTATTCCTTCTTCTTGCCTAATTGCTCTGGCTAGGAATTCCAGTACTATGTTGAATAGGAGTGGAGATAGTGGGCATCCTTGTCTGGTTCCTGATTTTAGAGGGAATGGTTTCAGTTTTTCTCGTTAAGTATAATGCTGGCTGTAGGTTTGTCATATATAGCTTTTATAATGTTGAGGAACTTTCCTTCTATTCCTAGTTTTCTTAGAGCTTTTATCATGAAATGATGTTGGATCTTATCAAAGGCTTTTTCTGCATCTATTGAGATGATCAAGTGGTTTTTGTCTTTGCTTCTGTTAATGTGGTTATTACGTTTATTGATTTTCGTATGTTGAACCACCCCTGCATCCTGGGATGAAGCCTACTTGGTCGTGGTGAATAATCTTTTTGATGTGTTGCTGAATTCGGTTTGCCATTATTTTGTTGAGGATTTTTGCATCAATGTTCATTAAGGAGATTGGCCTATAGTTCTCCTTTTTGGAGGTGTCTTTGCCTGGTTTTGGGATAAGTGTAATACTGGCTTCATAAAATGTGTTTGGCAGTTTTCCTTCCCTTTCTATTTCATGGAACAGTTTAAGGAGGGTTGGTATCAGTTCTTCTTTAAAGGTCTGATAGAATTCAGCAGAGAATCCATCAGGTCCTGGACTTTTCTTTTTGGGGAGACTCTTGATTGCTGCTTCAATTTCATTTTGTGTTATAGGTCTATTCAGGTGATTAATTTCCTCTTGGTTCAGTTTTGGATGATCATATGTATCTAGAAATCTGTCCATTTCTTTAGATTTTCAAATTTATTTGAATATAGGTTCTCAAAGTAGTCTCTGATGATTTCCTGGACTTCCATGGTGTTTGTTGTTATCTCCCCTTTTGCATTCCTGATTCTACTAATTTGGGTTTTTTCTCTCCTCATTTTAGTCAGGTTTGCCAGGGGTCTATCGATCTTGTTTTTTTTCAAAGAACCAACTTTTTGTTTCATTAATTCTTTGTATGGTTTTTTTGGTTTCTATTTCGTTGATTTCAGCTCTTATTTTTATTATTTCTCTCCTTCTATTTGTTTTGGGATTTGCTTGTTCTTGTTTTTCTAGGAGTTTGAGATGTATCATTAGGTCATTGATTTGGGATCTTTCAATCTTTTTAATATATGCACTCATGGCTATAAACTTTCCTCTCAGACTGCCTTAGCTGTGTCCCATAGGTTCCGGTAGGTTGTGTTTTCATTTTCATTGACTTCCAGGAACTTTTTAATTTCCTCTTTTATTGCATCGATGATCCATTCTTCATTAAGTAATGAGTTATTTAGTTTCCAGCTGTTTGCATGTTTTTTGTCTTTACTTTGTTGTTGAGTTCTACTTCTAC